TTGAATTAACTTTATGGGGAAAAATACTGTCTTTTGGTCAACAGTAATTTCCAATATTATTAGACAATTGTTATGGTATTAACATGATTAATCTGAGGTTATAATCAATGACCATAATTCTCTTGCCTCTTGACGTCTTGGCTGAGAATAATGGTAAAATTAGAAATTTTTGTCTGGTTTTAAACTGGAATTAGGACAGAATCAGACACTGTGCTGCAATACCAGAAAGTACCGGAACATTTCTAATATTATTAGTAAAATATTTCTGGTTGACTAATTGTGAGTCATCCATGGCATTGCTCACTCACTCACTCACTCACTCACTCACTCACTCACTCACTCACTCACAGAATGTTTTAGTTATTTTTTTTAAATGGAAGCAACGTACACTCTGATCCAGGTGTTGGTGAAATGGGTGAGCATGGCCTACTGTAACTGTAGCACTCATCATGAGTGAGGGTCATAGCCATAAAGTTGGCCAAAACAACATTTTATCCCAGAACAGCTTCTCTTTAAGTAACTGATGATGATATCACATTGTGTAACTGTGAATTTTGACTGCTCTGTTCTTGATGGGGATTTCCTACTTACTAGATGTTTATCGATTGACATGAACATAAATGTTCAAACTAATGGACAGCAAGATTTTGTGAAACATTTATTGGTCAAGCTCGTGTCACAACACATTAACTCTCATGTTCTTTTCATCATCACAATAAATTGTCCATGATAGGAGGTCAGGGGGATCTATTTCAGTTTGGCTGACTCAGATATAGATAGTGAACACAATCGGGCAGACAGTCCTCTCAGGGCCTGCTGTTACTTACTAAGGCCACATATTGTGGATTTTGTGGTTTACAGATTTTTGTTAGCATTCTTTCATGGATTGTAGACATTAACCAATTGTACAGCGTGATGCATGTCGTCATTATGTCAAACTTTCATCTGTCTCCCAGAATAAGTTAATATTGAATCCACAAGTCTAGAATGATTTAGCAAGTCTAGATTGACTGAGCTCTGAAATTTAGCCTTGTTCTGGGCTCCATTTGGATTTTAATTTTTACTTTGTAGATATATATTTTTAAATAAGGTAACTTTATTTCTGGGATTTAAATGTTAGTCAGCATGAAACTTATACCCCCATTCCACAGAGAATTTTGGTTCATCGGTCACTCATCGGAAGCAAAGTTTTTTACTTCCGGTAACCCACCGAAGAGTATCGTATCACACTCCGATGAATCCGATTTGTGTTTGTCGACAATCAGGTCAGTGTCCGACGTGTTGGGCGTGATCCGATGAGGCGAAATTGTCCGATGAAGGAACTAAGCTCAGAGCTTAGTTCACCATCGGACGCCATTTCCGGTCGCAAATTGAGTCAGTGTCGGATGAATGTCGAGTCCGTCCGATGTGTGCCAGAATCGTGTTGTGCAACTATCGGACGTGTCTAGCCGACGTCTGACGGCAATCTGATGAGTGTCCGATAATTAACAGTCATCTGACGCTCATCTGATTGCAATCTGCGGTCTGCCCTACGCGCCTGATAGCCGCCCATCACCAATTCGATTCTCATCGGAGACATCGTTGTGACATCGGAGTGTAATCGCTCATTAACTCAACTGCAATCCGACACATATCGGACTATGAAAGGAGGGTCAGCCGACACTCACTTCGCAGATTTTCATCAGACACTACAGCACCAAGATCCTGAAGATGGCTCCAAGAAAGAACAGAAATGTTGGAGGACAGAAGGCAGAGAAGAGATCTCCCAGCACTCCTCAACAATGTCAAGTGCCAGAAGATTCCTCTGTGCCTCCTCCTGAAGATGCAGAGACGGAGGATAGGCCTATTCAGGCCCCAATCACTGCTCAGGCACACGGCTCTCCCTGCATCTTGTTGCATAGTTTGTTGCTGGAGCATAAAAACACAGCCCAGGGCTGCAGCGTTGCAAAGAAGTTGATCCATGTCTATTACTGTCAGGAGGTGCAGCCCGCTTTTATACTCGACTGTCGATTTTGGCGACAAATCCAACCAGAATTGGGTCACTGTCCGATTACCCTACGAAAAGTAACCGATGTGTCGGATTGGTGTCGGGAGAGGGTTGGAAGTGTCAGATTAGTGTCAGGTCACCCTCTAATTACAATCCGACCGCAATCGGATCAATTGGACGCCGCCGATGAAAATGGCGGACAGACATCTGGCCGCTACCAGTCTTTCATCCGATTACCCCGATTAGTGTTGGATCTCTATCGGATTTTACGGAAAACGGGGACCCAAAAAAGAGAATGTCGGGTGAATTTTCATCGGAACTCATCGGAATGCTGAAATTTTTGCAAAATTGGGATCAGATGAGCTTCAGATCAGGTACCGATGGTCAGTGGAATGGGGGTATTACACAATGCAACATATCTAGCATTATGAACATTAAATAATGTATCTATCACAGTATTTTGGATCTATGATTAAAGGCATAAAATATTTGCATACTTTATTTATAACAGAAGGGTTTTCTAATGATAGTGCAGAATAAATGTACAGTGCTTAGAAATTATATACAAGTAATAAAAATAACACACACACATACATACATACACAAATACATATATACATTATTACAGACAAACACATATACGAATGTACGTACACACACACACACACACACACACACACACACACACACACACGAGATACATTTATATTTATTTTTATGCAATGGTACATTTGTTAAAGATATTTAATGTATTTATAAAATGACAGTAGTTAATAAATAGACAGGCATTTTGAATGTAAGTATTTTAAAGGGTGGGAACAATAGAACATTACTATGCTGTGGTAATTACATGGAATGTTATTGTTGACATCAAAATCACAGTCATAACGAATACCAAAACTAAAATAAAAATTAAATATAACTGAGACTTTTTGTACAGAAACAAGCATGTAACAATATGGAATTTAGAAGTAGCTAGTGATAGGTAATTCTTGTTATATTAAGATAAATTGAAAATCCTTTTGTTTCCACTACAAATTGATGGATATATGTAAACATTGAATTATTTTGTTCTTTGGATAGATTTCTGTTTCCACTTAGAATTGTTTCTAAATTGGGCTGAGCCCCTATACACATGATGCTGATAAATAAAGATTGTCTTATTAAAAAAATGTTTACATTCAAGAAAATAGTGAAAAGCATTTTCACATGGGGAACCGCAAGATCAAGAAATAGTGGCTGACAAATTTACCATAAATAAGTCATCATTTAGATTGCTACATCTATGTCTAAGTCTTGTGTGTATACTATTAATTTCACACTTTCCATAACTGAAATAATATGGAGATTTAATAACATTTTGATATATTCTTGTTTTAAATTCAGCTACAGAAATACTATTTTATATCGATTTCATTTTTTGTATTCCACTGTTTTAATTAGTCTATAATAAATTATTTCTGAAACGTACTTGTTGTGGCAAAACGTGCAGTCATGTTCTGTTTGTTACGTAGCTAGGTTATAATTTGAAGCAGCTGATCTGAGGTGGGGTAACAAATCATTTAGATAGAGGGACATTCATTCATTATTATTTTGTGCACTGTCATAAGTTTTTTATATTTTTGTTTCTCTTTTAGTGGTAGCCAGCCCGTTTCGAAATATGAACTTTCTCTCAAGGCAAATTTGGTCAAACCTGTAACAGTTCTGTGGATCAGAATCTAATCATGCTAAGGTTCTATGTTGTACACGTTTTAGATGTTTTGTGAAAATTTGTGTGTAAACGTCTTTTAAGATAATGAAAAGATGAAAGAAAGGGAAACATGAGTTCAGTCAAGATCTTCAGTAGACCTTCAGCAGCTGATACTGGCTGGACTATACCGGAGACATTCATTTCAAGATCACTGATGGAATCAGAGTTTTCCCTTTTGAATAGAATTAGATCTGACTTTACTGCGGAACATTAATTCTATGTCTATTAATTCTATATATACTTAACTTACCACAAGTGAGTCAATTCGTTTATTGGTTACCAAGATACCACAATTCAAATTAATCTCCATGACATCTGAATTGCAAGAACTTGTGTTGTCATTTACCGTAACCTTTTATACCAGTATCTGCTTGGAAACTACATTATAAGGGTGCTTCTTTCACATTGTGGCAATTCTATCCTTCACCATGGTCAAATAACCATGGTAACAAGAGTGTGCATATGATGTTATATTGTGTTTCATTGTCGTTAGTTGAGCCAAACAGTGTTAGTATGAAAGGTGTTTGTGAACCATTCTTGAATAAACATGCAACAGATATCAAGTCAGTTTACGTATCATTGTTATCTGTTGGTCAGTCATGTTGCCTTTTATGATCCTAAACTCAGTTCTTTGTGAACTCTATAACCATGCTGTGTCAATTTCAGGGGCTGAATGTACTTTTTTCCTCTCTCCTTAATATTTTTCTCTCTTACAATTGTTATTGACCTGTCCATCTGTTACTGACGTGTCCATCTGTTACTGACCCGTGATAACCTTTCTGGTGATGAGTTCTATCCGTTAGTGTTGCATAGTGTCAGATATATGAAGGGGGCACGGGTGGCTCAGTCGTCTAAGGCACCGCGATTCACTGTGCAGAGTTGTGCCCCTTGGACACGCCAGAAACCTATGATTGCTGTTCAAATCCCGGTTCACTCCGATTATGTTTCTAGGTTTGTCAGCACCATACCCGTGCTCGTGGGTTTCACCAAAGTGGTACACGTCTGAGACCTGCATCATTTTTGGCTTTCCTCCCACATTAAGCTGACACGCTGTGATATAACTGGAATGCTGTTAAAAGCAGCGTTAAACCCAACTCACTCACTAACTCATATATGGAAGAGAGACAGTACAGTGTTCTGGGTCATGTTTTCCACACTGTACTTGAGTCAATTATGTCTACCTGTCTACCTCTCTTACAGATATATCCCTCTCATTACTGAACTGTCTCTCTGTTACATTCTCATCCCTTCATCCCAACACAGGAGCTGGAGAAGACTGGGCTTAGGGAGACTGACCATCGTCTGAAGGAGTCAATGGCCAAGATCGCCAGCATACAGAGTGAGAACATCAAGAGAGAGGGACATGCATATGACTTCTTGGACAGAGAAACTTTTAAGAAGTAAGCCCAGCACACTAGAGGAGACATCTCTCAACTTAGAGAAGGCAGACCATACCACTAACAGCATGGGCTGGTCGTCATTGGATTAAATTAAGAGGGAACAATTAGCACATGTTTGTAGATATATGTTTAGTCTGTTATCTGGTTACAATTGTAGCTGCTGTTTATTGTAATCAGGGGACACGGGTGACCCAGTCGTCTAAGGCGCTGTGATTCGCTGTGCAGAGTTGTGTCCCTTGGGCACGCCAGAAACCTATGATTGTGGGTTCGAATCCCGGTTCGCCCCGTTTATGTTTCTAGGTTTGTCAGCATCATACCCGTGCCCGTGGGTTTCATCTAAGTGGTAAACATCTCAGACCTGCATCACTTTGGGCTTTCCTCCCACATTAAGATGACACGCCGTGATGTAACTGGAATACTGTTAAAAGCGACGTTAAACCCAACTCACCCACTACTGTAATCATTTTTGGTAATCATGTTTTTCAGGTGTATTGCAGACAACATTGTCCTCATCGCAAAGGCATTCCGAGAAGAGTTTGTGATCCCTGACTTTTCTACCTTCTGTCAGGACATTGATAAGCTGTATGAGAAGGGCAAGTCCAATACAGCTGGAGCGGTCAGTATCTCTATTTTTTCGTATTTGACTGACCAGAATCCTTCAAGGTACATTACTGTGAGGGGTTTATGCCAGATCTGCATCCTTATTCTCATGATAATGCATGAGTCTTTTTATTTATTTCCTCTTAGCTATTGTTCAGCTGGAATCCAAAGGCCCATTGCATAAGATTCATATCAACCCAAATCTGTGAGAGTGTCCTGCTCTCCTTCAGTCAGCATCCTACATCCCTCAGCTGGCTAGGTTCAACCCCAATCTGTGTGGGATGCCGTTTGAACCGTATGTCAATGTCCTGTTTTCTCCTTCAGTCAGCATCCTACATCCCTCAGCCAGCTAGGTTCAACCCTGATCTGTGTGGGATGCCGTCTGAACCGTATGTCAGTGTCCTGTTTTCTCCTTCAGTCAGCATCCTACATCCCTCAGCCGGCTAGGTTCAACCCTGATCTGTGAGGGATGCCGTCTGAACTGTATTTAAATGTCCTCCTCTCTCTTTCAGCCAGCATCCTACATCCCACAGCTGGCAAGGTTCAACCCCAATCTGTGGGGTGTGTCAGTCTGTACAGTTGATGGCCAGAGGTATATATATAGTATAGTTGCATATATCAACACCACACACTTTTATCAGTAGTGTCCAACAGCGCTTAGTGACTTGGCAGCATACATCAGTAGCCAACAATGCCTTGTGAAGGCACTAGTATACCTTCCACAGTGCCAGGGGATGTGGGAGGACCTGAGGCCATGTGTCTCATAGGCCACACACACTACTGATGGCGCAGTTTGGACTTGAAAACTAATTTTGCTTTTGATGTTAATATTTGACATCACAGAGTAGCAGTTATGTAGATTGGAATTTCAGAGATGTTTTCCAGAACCTGAAATATGGGCAATAGGCTGATAAAATATTACTTTGGCTATAGACAGATGGCTCAATACAGTGACACCCTGTATAACAAGATAGCACCATCCCCAGCAAAATGAGGTCAATAGGATTTAAGGATAATCAAATTCTGGGTACCAAGCATATCCATTAATATTTATTAAGGGTCCCTGACAGTAATTGTCTTGTTTTGTCATATCTGCTCTAACAGGGTATCACCCTGTGAAGATCCAGGTTAGAATCGGTCTTCGACAACCCATGCTGGTCGTAAGAGGTGACCATGCTTGTCTTATGAGGCGACTAACAGGATCAGATGATCAGGGCACTGACTTGGTTGATTCATGTCATGGTATCACAACTTTGTGGTATTGATGCTCATGATGACAATCACTAGATTGTCAGGTCCAGACTTGATTATATACAGACCGCAGTCATATAGCTTGAATATTGCTGAGTGCGGCGTTAAACAACAAAACAAACAGGGTATCACTGCATACTTGAATGATGACTCTTTTTCCCAAAATATTACCAGCCATAATTGTATTATGAATAAGGACATAAAAATTATTCATTTTGTAGATTTCTTTGGACTAATATAAAGTTTCACAAGATTAACTTAAAACATTTTTTTAAACTTGCATCATGCCTTTTATATAGCTTTTAATTGTACAGGAATATTTGAAAACATGAAAGCACCTGTTATTTTGAACTAGTCTGTCTGGGTGACCATCTAACAATGAAGCAGTTCTATGAATCATAACTTGGCTGTTTACATCATTAGGTATTCCATTGGCGACACTGAGGTACCGCTCTGCCTACAGTCAGTAAGCAAAGCCATGACATATGCACTAGTTCTGAGTGACCTGAGCTCAGAGGTTGTTCACCAATATGTGGGACAGGAGCCCAGCGGACAGCCTTTCAATATGCTGTGTCTCAACCCAAACAGTGAGTCCCAAGCCTTTCTTTCTCCTGAAATAACGTTTTGCATTACTAGGTATTCAGTTGGCGACACCACAGATCCATTCTGTCTACAGTCTGTTAGTAAAGCGCTGTCCTATGCCTTAGTTCTGAGTGATCTCGGGTCAGAGGTCAGCCATCAGTATGTGGGCCAGGAACCCAGCGGACTCCCCTTCAACATGCTTTGTCTAAATCCCAACAGTGAGTAGGTCTCATGTGTCGAGGCATATGGTAGTCTCCCCTCCATGTGTAAGTACTCTGACACCACAAGGCATCCTGGTGCCTCCTGAAACATGTATTGAAAGTAACACTGTAACTGAAACAGATCCTAATCCATTAGTCCTTCTTGCTTAACCCTGATGAGAAAGACCTCATGTAATCCTGTTCCTCTGTAACAAACTACTCCCCTCAATGTGTAAGAACTCTTTCTGACCCCACAAGGCATCCTGGTGCCTCCTGAAACATGTATTGAAAGTAACACTGTAACTGAAACAGATCTTAATCCATTAGTCCTTCTTGCTTAACCCTGATGAGAAAGACCTCATGTATTCCTGTTCCTCTGTAACAAACTACTCCCCTCAATGTGTAAGTACTCTTTCTGACCCCACAAGGCATCCTGGTGCCTCCTGAAACATGTATTGAAAGTAACACTGTAACTGAAACAGATCCTAATCCATTAGTCCTTCTTGCTTAACCCCCATGAGAAAGACCTCATGTAATCCTGTTCCTCTGTAACAAACTACTCCCCTCAATGTGTAAGAACTCTTTCTGACCCCACAAGGCATCCTGGTGCCTCCTGAAACATGTATTGAAAGTAACACTGTAACTGAAACAGATTCTAAACCATTAGTCCTTACTGCTCTATTTCTGTTAGTTCTGCCTTAACCTTAACCCTTTCTGGTAGGGACTACGAGGGCTGGTCAAAAAGTTCTAAGCCTGCACAACTTTTAACCATGGGCCATAACAAAGTGAACTAGTCAATGTAGCACATTATTTTAGTAGTGCATTACAAGTGTATTTGGTCTGTTGAGGCCGTTTGTATATTAGTGACACCAGAGAAAATTAAGAGCTAATTGAACAGGATTTCAGAGATTAGTACAGGTGATGAAACATGGGTCTACCACTATGAGCCAAAACATCAATCCATGTAATGGCACCATTCCACTTCTTAGGCACCAAAGAAATTCAAGTCTGCAAGATGAGTGAAGAAAGTTATGGCCACTGTATTCTGGGATGCAAAGGGTGCGATCCTTGTTTATTACTTAGAGAGTCAAAAGACAATTACCGGTGCCTAATATGCTGAACATACTTCAACATGGGCCTTACTAGTTGTAGCCCTAGGACTGTCACAACATACTTCAACATGGACTTGGCTAGCCGTAGCCCTAGGACTGTCCCAACATACTTCAACATGGACTTGGCTAGCCGTAGCCATAGGACTGTCCCAACATACTTCAACATGGACTTGGCTAGCCGTAGCCCTAGGAATGTCACAACATACTTCAACATGGACTTGGCTAGTCATAGCCCTAGGACTGTCCCAACATACTTTAACATGGACTTGGCTAGTCATAGCCCTAGGACTGTCACAACATACTTTAACATGGACTTGGCTAGTTGTAGCTCTAGGACTGTCACAACATACTTCAACATGGACTTGGCTAGTCACAGCCCTAGGACTGTCCCAACATACTTCAACATGGACTTGGCTAGTTGTAGCCCTTGGACTGTCACAACATACTTCAACATGGACTTGGCTAGTTGTAGCCCTAGGACTGTCACAACATAATTCAACATGGACTTGGTTAGCTGTAGCCCTAGGACTGTCACAACTTACTTCAACATGGACTTGGCTAGTCATAGCCCTAGGACTGTCACAACATACTTCAACATGGACTTGGCTAGTTGTAGCCCTAGGACTGTCACAACATACTTTAACATGGACTTGGCTTGTCATAGCCCTAGGACTGTCACAACATACTTCAACATGGACTTGGCTAGCCGTAGCCCTAGGACTGTCCCAACATACTTCAACATGGACTTGGCTAGCCGTAGCCCTAGGACTGTCCCAACATACTTTAACATGGACTTGGCAAGTCATAGCCCTAGGACTGTCACAACATACTTCAACATGGACTTGGCTAGTTGTAGCCCTAGGACTGTCCCAACATACTTCAACATGGACTTGGCTAGTTGTAGCTCTAGGACTGTCCCAACATACTTCAACATGGACTTGGCTAGTTGTAGCCCTAGGACTGTCACAACATACTTTAACATGGAATTGGCTAGTTGTAGCCCTAGGACTGTCACAACATACTTTAACATGGACTTGGCTAGTCATAGCCCTAGGACTGTCACAACATACTTCAACATGGACTTGGCTAGCCGTAGCCCTAGGACTTGCCCAATATACTTTAACATGGACTTGGCTAGCCGTAGCCCTAGGACTGTCACAACATACTTCAACATGGACTTGGCTTGCCGTGGCCCTAGGACTGTCACAACATACTTCAACATGGACTTGGCTAGCCGTAGCCCTAGGACTGTCCCAACATACTTCAACATGGACTTGGCTAGTCGTAGCCCTATGACTGTCACAACATACTTCAACATGGACTTGGCTAGTTGTAGCTCTAGGACTGTCCCAACATACTTCAACATGGACTTGGCTAGTTGTAGCCCTATGACTGTCCCAACTTACTTCAACATGGACTTGGCTAGCTGTAGCCCTAGGACTGTCCCAACATACTTCAACATAGACTTGGCTTGTCATAGCCCTAGGACTGCCACAACATACTTCAACATGGACTTGGCTAGTTGTAGCCCTAGGACTGTCCCAACATACTTCAACATGGACTTGGCTAGCCGTAGCCCTAGGACTGTCCCAACATACTTCAACATGGACTTGGCTAGTTGTAGCTCTAGGACTGTCCCAACATACTTCAACATGGACTTGGCTAGTTGAAGCCCTAGGACTGTCACAACATACTTTAACATGGACTTGGCTAGTTGTAGCCCTAGGACTGTCACAACATACTTTAACATGGACTTGGCTAGTCATAGCCCTAGGACTGTCACAACATACTTCAACATGGACTTGGCTAGCCGTAGCCCTAGGACTGGCCCAATATACTTTAACATGGACTTGGCTAGTCGTAGCCCTAGGACTGTCACAACATACTTCAACATGGACTTGGCTTGCCGTAGCCCTAGGACTGTCCCAACATACTTCAACATGGACTTGGCTAGCCGTAGCCCAGGACTGTCCCAACATACTTTAACATGGACTTGGCAAGTCATAGCCCTAGGACTGTCACAACATACTTCAACATGGACTTGGCTAGTTGTAGCCCTAGGACTGTCCCAACATACTTCAACATGGACTTGGCTAGCCGTAGCCCTAGGACTGTCCCAACATACTTCAACATGGACTTGGCTAGCCGTAGCCCTAGGATTGTCCCAACATACTTCAACATGGACTTGGCTAGTTGTAGCCCTAGGACTGTCACAACATACTTTAACATGGACTTGGCTAGTTGTAGCCCTATGACTGTCACAACATACTTTAACATGGACTTGGCTAGTCATAGCCCTAGGACTGTCACAACATACTTCAACATGGACTTGGCTAGCCGTAGCCCTAGGACTGTCACAACATACTTCAATATGGACTTGGCTAGTTGTAGCTCTAGGACTGTCCCAACATACTTCAACATGGACTTGGCTAGTTGTAGCCCTAGGACTGTCACAACATACTTCAACATGGACTTGGCTAGTTGTAGCCCTAGGACTGTCACAACATACTTCAACATGGGCTTGGCTAGTTGTAGCTCTAGGACTGTCCCAATATACTTTAACATGGACTTTGCTAGTCGTAGCCCTATGACTGTCACAACATACTTCAACATGGACTTGGCTAGTTGTAGGCCTAGGACTGTCACAACATACTTTAACATGGACTTGGCTAGTTGTAGCTCTAGGACTGTCCCAACATACTTCAACATGGACTTGGCTAGTCGTAGCCCTATGACTGTCACAACATACTTCAACATGGACTTGGCTAGTTGTAGCTCTAGGACTGTCCCAACATACTTCAACATGGACTTGGCTAGTTGTAGCCCTATGACTGTCCCAACTTACTTCAACATGGACTTGGCTAGCTGTAGCCCTATGACTGTCCCAACATACTTCAACATAGACTTGGCTTGTCATAGCCCTAGGACTGCCACAACATACTTCAACATGGACTTGGCTAGTCATAGCCCTAGGACTGTCCCAACTTACTTCAACATGGACTTGGCTAGTCGTAGCCCTATGATAACTTGTGGAACAGGGCCAAGATCCTTTGCTTCAAGCGCAATGCGGCCTAGCTTACAGAGTTGCATACCTTACCTTGCCAGGATTGGCTGATCATTGGTTTGTTATCCGGTTATCATTGTTTTTTCAACACCAGGAATGCTTATTTGTTTCCCCAAAGCAGTAAACCACATTGGACCTTCTTCCCACATTAACTGACACACCATGACATAATTGTAATGTCTTAGTAATGTGACACTCAGATCGCTCAAACCCTCAATACACCTCAGCAGACCCAAACATCATGTCGCTTTAGGCTCATATGAAAGCTTCATGGTCTGTTTGATAGAGCTTCTGCCCAGAGAACCGAAGTTTGGTGGTTCAATCAGGGAAAGACATTAAAAGTTGGCCTGGCATTCGTCATTAAGGACTGGCCGGTTCAGAGTTAGTATACTGTGTCTGGGTTGGGTATACATGTTAAAACTCATCATGGTATCTCAGTGGGCTAGCACTATAAACCTAGTCCGGACTCATACAAGCAGCTACACACACACAGGCATGCACATTGCTATATAAGTGCAATAATCTTGAATGCAATGGGTTTTTTCACCTCACCTTCATTCCCATACCTGCATGACTTGCTGTCAGTCCTTGCTCCACATGAAGACAATAATAATACTTCCTGTATGCTATTTACATGCATGACACTGAAAGAGTTTCCTGACCATACTGACAGTTGTTTTCAATATTGCTTCCATGTTAAACAATGTCATGTCACAGATTTCAAATTTAACATATACAAATCTTATAATTATAACTATGTAAATGAACTTAATTTCCATAGCAAATTATTATTAGCTTCCTCGGTTAATCCAGTCTCATTCGCACCCAGTGCTATGGTCTTGACAACTGACATATGGCATGACATCTGTATTTGGTTGAGCCTTCTCAGACCCTTTCTTGTGATGAGAGGTAGACTTTCATGACTTTGGGTCAGGGTTGTACTGGTCTATAGAATGTGTCCCCTTTCTATCTACAGACAAGCCACACAATCCCATGATCAACGCTGGCGCCATCGTCACATGCTCACTGCTGAAGAAAGATCTCAACCTTGCCGACAGATTTGACTTTGTGAGTGGTCATCTATTTACTGGAGTGACATATAAAAAACACCCTTACAGTTTAGAATGTAAGTCATTCGATGAAAGCGGTGAGATAGCCTAGTGGTTAAAGCGTTCGCTCGTCATGCTGAAAATTTCGGTTCATTTCCCCACATGGGTACAATGTGTGAAGCCCATTTCGGGTGTCCCCTGCTGTGATATTGCTGGAATATTGCTAAAAACGGTGTAAAACACTTCTCACTCACTCACTCATTCGATGAAGTTGATATTTGGCTTGGAAAATCTGTAAGTGTTAATTTCAAGTGTGTCTGCATGTGACCTAGAACTTAAATTCTGTTCCATAAGGATTCTGCAGTAGAATTTGTCCCAAATTCCCCATTCTTGCCATAAAAGGTGACTATAATGAGGAGTGAGTGGTTACATTGTGTGACCTCAATGTTACATTCTTCTCTTTCTGTAACATGTATTCAGTATGGCTGGTGCAGTCACACCTACAGGTGCACATGGGAAAGAGGGTCTGTTTGGCAGCAGTGGTAATAATCATGGACTCATTTTCAACATGTTAACAGACTATGGTACTGAATTGATCACTTTGAATGACAGCACATGTGTTGATTTTGTTCTTCGTCTTCAGACAAACAAGATGTACAAGAGGATGGCTGGCAACGAGTACGTGAGCTTCAACAACTCAGTGTAAGTGTGTTTGGTATGGCCAGACTTGTTATCAGAAGCATAGCTCATTGTCTGAGGTTTTATGGCCAGACTTTTTATCAGAAGCATAGCCCATTGTCTGAGGTTTTATGGCCAGACTTTTTATCAGAAGCATAGCTCATTGTCTGAGGTTTTATGGCCAGACTTGTTATCAGAAGCATAGCTCATTGTCTGAGGTTTTATGGCCAGACTTGTTATCAGAAGCACAGCTCGCCGTCTGAGTCTCATTGAATATGCCAAATAGTCCTGACATTCACTTCTGACCACATGAGGACTCAAGTTTGTAAAGGACAACTAATTAGGCCTTAGTGATACTAAGAGGGTGGCCACATGGATAGGCACTCCTAGGCCTTAGCCGGCAGTCTTGGTGTGGCATTGTGGATTGATGCTCACACCATCAGTCATAGGTTTGCCTGTTCCTAGTCTGACTACACGCATTGCAAGTAAACGTAGTGCTGGACTGAACATGACACTTGTTCGTGTCTGAGTATTGGTAGATTGCTAAAGTCGTAAATCAGCAGGTAGGATACACTTGGTAACAGTTCCTTTCTGTGCAAGTGTAGGACACAGAATCGGTAGTGCAAGTGCAGGACACAGAATCGGTACTACAATGTAGTTCCTTATCACTCTGATCCCCCTCTACTGCATTAAGTACTGTGGACTACAACATTGAGTCATGTCACTCTGATCCCTCTGTACTGCACTAAGTACTGTGGACTACAACATTGAGTCATGTCACTCTGATCCCTCTGTACTGCATTAAGTACTGTAGACTACAACATTTAGTCATGTCACTCTGATCCCTCTGCACTGTATTAAGTACTGTGGACTACAACATTTAGTCATGTCACTCTGATCCCCCTCTACTGCATTAAGTACTGTGGACTACAACATTTAGTCATGTCACTCTGATCCCCCTCTACTGTATTAAGTACTGTGGACTACAACATTTAGTCATGTCTCTCTGATCCCCCTCTACTGTATTAAGTACTGTGGACTACAACATTTAATCATGTCACTCTGATCCCTCTCTACTGTATTAAGTACTGTGGACTACAACATTTAGTCATGTCACTCTGATCCCTCTCTACTGTATTAAGTACTGTGGACTACAACATTTAGTCATGTCACTCTGATCCCTCTGTACTGTATTAAGTACTGTGGACTGCAACATTTAATCATGTCACTCTGATCCCTCTCTACTGTATTAAGTACTGTGGACTACAACATTTAATCATGTCACTCTGATCCCTCTCTACTGTATTAAGTACTGTCGACTACAACATATAGTCATGTCACTCTGATCCCTCTGTACTGCATTAAGTACTGTAGACTACAACATTTAGTCATGTCACTCTGATCCCCCTCTACTGTATTAAGTACTGTGGACTACAACATTTAATCATGTCACTCTGATCCCTCTGTACTGCATTAAGTACTGTCGACTACAACATTTAGTCATGTCACTCTGATCCCTCTGTACTGCATTAAGTACTGTCGACTACAACATTTAGTCATGTCACTCTGATCCATCTCTACTGTATTAAGTACTGTCGACTAAAACATTTAGTCATGTCACTCTGATCCATTCCTACTGTATTAAGTACTGTCGACTACAACATTTAGTCATGTCACTCTGATCCCTCTCTACTGTATTAAGTACTGTCGACTACAACATTTAGTCATGTCACTCTGATCCCTCTGTACTGCATTAAGTACTGTCGACTACAACATTTAGTCATGTCACTCTGATCCATCCCTACTGTATTAAGTACCGTCGACTACAACATTTAGTCATGTCACTCTGATCCCTCTGTACTGCATTAAGTACTGTGGACTACAACATTTAGTCATGTCACTCTGATCCCTCTCTACTGTATTAAGTACTGTGGACTACAACATTTAGTCATGTCACTCTGATCCCTCTGTACTGCATTAAGTACTGTCGACTACAACATTTAGTCATGTCACTCTGATCCCCTTCTACTGTATTAAGTACTGTCGACTACAACATTTAGTCATGTCGCTCTGATCCATCTCTACTGCATTAAGTACTGTAGACTACAACATTTAGTCATGTCACTCTGATCCATCTCTACTGTATTAAGTACTGTCGACTACAACATTTAGTCATGTCACTCTGATCCCTCTGTACTGCATTAAGTACTGTCGACTACAACATTTAGTAATGTCACTCTGATCAATCTCTACTGCATTAAGTACTGTCGACTACAACATTTAGTCATGTCACTCTGATCCCTCTGTACTGCATTAAGTACTGTGGACAACAACATTTAGTCATGTCACTCTGATCCCTCTCTACTGTATTAAGTACTGTTGACTACAACATTTAGTCATGTCACTCTGATCCCTCTGTTCTGCATTAAGTACTGTCGACTACAACATTTAGTCATGTCACTCTGATCCATCTCTACTGTATTAAGTACTGTCGACTACAACATTTAGTCATGTCACTCTGATCCCTCTCTACTGTATTAAGTACTGTCGACTACAACGTTTAGTCATGTCACTCTGATCCCTCTGTACTGCATTAAGTACTGTCGCCTACAACATTTAGTCATGTCACTCTGATCCATCCCTACTGTATTAAGAACTGTAGACTACAACATTTAGTTATGTCACTCTGATCCCTCTGTACTGCATTAAGTACTGTCGACTACAACATTTAGTCATGTCACTCTGATTCCTCTCTACTGCATTAAGTACCGTCGACTACAACATTTAGTCATGTCACTCTGATCCCTCTGTACTGCATTAAGTACCGTCGACTACAACATTTAGTCATGTCACTCTGATCCCTCTGTACTGCATTAAGTACTGTCGACTACAACATATAGTCATGTCACTCTGATCCCTCTGTATTGCATTAAGTACTGTCGACTACAACATTTAGTCATGTCACTCTGATCCCTCTGTACTGCATTAAGTACCGTCGACTACAACATTTAGTCATGTCACTCTGATCCCTCTCTACTGTATTAAGTACTGTCGACTACAACATTTAGTCATGTCACTCTGATCCCTCTGTACTGCATTAAGTACTGTCGACTACAACATTTAGTCATGTCACTCTGATCCCTCTGTACTGCATTAAGTACTGTCGACTAAAACATTTAGTCATGTCACTCTGATCCCTCTGTACTGCATTAAGTACTGTCGACTACAACATTTAGTCATGTCACTCTGATCCCTCTGTACTGCATTAAGTACTGTCGACTACAACATTTAGTTATGTCACTCTGATCCCTCTGTACTGCATTAAGTTCTGTGGACTACAACATTTAGTCATGGCACTCTGATCCCTCCCTACTGTATTAAGTACTGTTGACTACAACATTTAGTCATGTCACTCTGATCCCTCTCTACTGTATTAAGTACTGTCGACTACATCATGTCACTCATTGAGTCAATTGATCATGTTTCACTTCACAGCCCTGGAGATGCTATGTTATGTGTTGCACTCTTACATGTCATTGTCCTTGGAGAGACTTCTTCACAGTATACAGAGCACACTTATCTTGGTCTAGTCATCAGTGAAGTCACGGTCTAGTCAGTAGGCCTTTTTGTTTCTTAATCAAATGTACATAGTTGTACTCATGAGATTTGTGTAGTGTTTGTTTTTTCTTTGACTGCAAGTTGGAAATAAATCTCCAGCATAACATACATTCATCAGTAGTAATTTTCAGTAGACTTACATTCTAGCCTAGTTCAGATAAAGCTTCTGTTAACTGTAATTCTACCTCACAATTACTTTCAACTACCAAACACTAAGATTAGCTAACCCACTACTGACAGTCAACTGGAATACCAAACAGGCTTTTTTTTAAAAGGTTTCTTGTTATTATGTCTCAGACATTTCAATAATGTATGCCCCAGTGGGAATTCAGGTCAGAATAGGCCCCAGCAACCTACAGGGTGTCATCTTACTCTGAGGGAGGCTGCTCGTAATGTCAATCACTGGATTGTGCTAGTCCAGAGGTGGTTATTTACCTTTCTGCCATCATTGCTCCAATAATGCCGAGTGTGGTGCTAAACAACAAAATCTCTTGTTAATCTTTAAAAAAAATTCCCAGTGAAAGACTGACTAATATTAGATGCAGTTCATAATTATGAAATGAAAACCTTGAGGTTTAGCACAGGGACTTAACTTCTGCTGAAAAAACAGATGCTTGTGGGTATTATCTGCAAGTCAACAATGAATTTTCCAAACAATCTCAAAGAACAGTAGACTGGGTCACTGAAATAGAATTCTTCTGTATATTAATTTAAGAAGACTTAAACAACAGTTAAGAGGGTGAGAGTTCTAGGTGTTCTGGGAAGTCTCTAATTCTGCCTTTGTTCACTGCACACTTTCAAATGTTGCACTGATATTTTATGTGCACTTCAAGCATTGTACGGTGATGCAGTACAAGTGGTATGTACATATGTATATTGTTTTGAACATTCCCATTTCAGTTATGAAGCATATTTTGACCCCACAGATCATATTTGTGACAGTGACAGGCGGTAAATATTTCTTTTGCCAAAAAATAATTTCACTATAGTAGCAAATGTTGCCTTTCGTTGTTTAAAGCTGACGCTTTGCTTGCTTTTCAAAATGGTTTATTTCAAATTTCAAGCCCTGATTGTTTTTATCAATTTGTTGAAACATGCCTAATGTTTGTGTTTAATTGACGAAAGGGACATTTTGTAATATTCTTATCAGTACAAGTAGTTTACATTAATTATAAGACAGGGCTCAAAATTTGCTCAGTGTCTGATGAGGTGCTGCTCATGAATACACATCACAAATTTCTGGAATGTCTTGCGAGACTAAAAAGGATGATTTGTATAAAAATGATCTGTGAATGTTCAAAAACATCCTGTATAGTTGAAAGTGCTCTTTGTTGTGAATATTTAGTTTGTAGTTAAAAGAATCACAGTGTTCACTTCCAAACAACAGATCAAATTTCGAGTCCTGTTACTTCAACTAGAACATGCTTGACATGCTTTTCCCCTCTAACGTTGTTACTAATGAACTCTATTGAAGCATTCAGCTGTTGCAGCTCCTACTAAATCAGATAACATGGATTTCTGCTTGTTATTCTGTCATCATAGCTGGAATACTACTTCTCGTTGTAATTCTGGGGGATGGGTAGCTCATTTCCTGTACACAGCTACGTTCCTTAGCTTGCCACAAACTTATGATCATGGGTTTGAATCTCATTATCATCATGTTTCTGGGTTTGTCAGCACCAATGTCTAGAACTGCATCATGACAGATTTTCATCTCACAAAAACTGACAAGCAGTGACAACAGAAACACTGGCATTAAACCAGGGTATGAAACTCCCAAAAACTTCAGCCAGACCACAGGACTGGCAAGGTGAAATACTTGCCAGCCCTGACCAAAACCTGCCTGCCCACTATAATCATATGTTTCTCAGGATAAGCTAACAGGGTTTCTTTTTGGTTACATTTTATCATTCATCTTTACATGTGAATTAATGATTATCATCGGGAAATATTTAGAATATTGTCACATATGAAATATAACCCGACCATCGGGCAGGGGGATTTGAAAATCTGGCAGCCCGAGTTGAAATCAACCCGTCTTGGACGGTCGGGCAGGCAGGTATTTCGAACACTGCATTAAACCAAACTAGCTCCTTTCTTGTAACACAAGTAGTGAACTTAACAAATTCTCTTTTATCTTTTTAAATATTTCTGGTAATTATTTTCCTAGTAATTATAAAAATATTTATTACTAAACATCTGAAGTTCTTTTGTCTGTTTTTTTTATGTCAAATACATGTATGTCAATACTGGTCAATGCAATTAGCAAAACTCCTTGACGAAGCCTGAGGGTTTTACTACTTTAGTTGACTTGGGTTGATCAACTGATAACAGATGACACAAGGGTGAGCTTCTCCATCCAACTGGCTGCGGCCAGAATGGACATCAATTGCTGTGAATGTGACCACCAGGGGAGATAACTCTGTGTGAATTGACAGTGCTTGTGTAGATGGTTCACACACACACGCCAATTTCTAATCCTGGCAAGTTAAACACCATTTTGTTTTGATGTCTCTATTTCACACAGTGCATTGCAAATTGGTCACCAGATATGTGTGAAGCTACATGTGACTGCATATGTCCTTGTAACCAGAAAAAAAATCTGATTCTTTTCAGCTTCCTTTCTGAGCGGGAAACAGCTGACAGAAACTTTGCCCTGGGTTACTACATGAGAGAGAACAAGGTATGGAAGACAACCATTGTCCCTTTAAAGTAACAAGGCTGGACTTAACTCATGAATACCGGTATATTAACATGAGTCCAGCTATTCAATGAACTCTTTTTATTTCCAATGGTGCAACAACAGGATTAACTTGCGTAATTCAATACAGGTTTTGTTGATATTCTATTTTCGATGAGGGTTCACAAGATGTAGGTTTAGGTTGGGGGTCCGGCTTATGTACCGCACATAACACTTTGATACAGATTTCATGGAGCAAGTTAATAACTGGACTTGTCTATGAGATCGGCTTATCTACGGTCGTGTAAGGTGATGTGTTGTAACCACCAGGTTAGTTGACTGTTGCCATGTTGTCCGGTCCTATTCAGTCTCTTTAAAAACACATCTTTAAAACACGTCTGTATCAAGATCTGACAACACTACAATAAAAGGTTGAATCAGGCAAACTTTCAAATCAGCCAATCAGCACTGAGCGAACCCTAAGCAAACTTTTTCCGCCCAATTAAATAGAGCATGTCTTGGTACTTGATTCAATGAGATGTCAGATTTCTAAAATGATTCAGTTTAATTTCTTTTACTCCTTGAATAGGATATTTCATTGTTAGTGAAAGAAAAACACCACAGAACAAAAATATTCCCTTGATAGTACACCCTTTTGTATACAGTATCCATAACAATACAATCATGCTTATGCTGTTTTTTGCATTCTGAATTCTCTGATTATGAAACAGAAATGACATTGTCTGAATGCTTCACTCCAAGAATTTAGAAACCATGAGGTTGATTGGCCGACTTGAAAATTCACTTCACTCACTCACTTAGACAATGATGCCGTTTGTTCCACCACAAGTTCCAGCTTATGAATCCAGCTGCTGCATCATTTAATGCTTAAATCAATTTGGGTTATGGTATCAGCTGCACACAGCTGACATCTATCTGCCTCATGTCATGGTAATGAGACTATTTGCTAGGTCCATTATTCTGATGACCTGCTTGTCACATTACAGTGCTTCCCAAAGGGCACCAACCTCATCGAGCTGCTTGACTTCTACTTCCAAGTAAGTTCTAATTTGTCTCTTGATATACAGCCTTTCCAGCTCTTGTTGTTATTTTGTAATCTTTACCTCACCAGGACTAAATGGTCATTCTCCATCCAACCATCTGTCTTTTTACTGCTCCTTCTCCCTCAAGGCTGAGGAAGACACTGGTATGTTTTCACAAATCAGAAAATCAATTCTCCTCTTTGGTAACTACAAGACCCATGCCAAGCAGAGAGTGGAGTCTTTATGAAGCTATGACTTTCCACCAGGACACACCACAGATGACTGTAAAGATTTCACTGCATACAACCTTACTTGAATGAACTAGTTGGCTACAACAGTGCCTTGGTGCACGTTCATAAAACCGCCGGTGACAGAACAGAGCCAGAATATATTCCTGATGTTCTGCATTACAGTGTTGCTCTGCTGAGATTACATGTGAGTCTGGAGCTGTGATTGCAGCCACTCTGGCCAACGGGGGCATCTGCCCAACAACAGGTGACAAGGTTCTCCAGCCAGCTGCCATCAGAGACACACTGTCACTCATGTTGTCCTGTGGGATGTATGACTACTCAGGCCAGTTTGCCTTCAAGGTACGCAGAGACACCTGGTACAATGCCTTACATGTGTCACTGGTGGGTGTACAGGATGTCAGGAGCTAACTGAATGGGCTCGTACACTACTGTTCATCCTGCTAGTGACATATGTAACAAACTTATCATTTAGACTTCAAATGTTTCGTAGACTATTTTCAGTGAAATATTTCTGTGTAACATTTAGATATATTAGATATGTTTTGTGATTGCCCTCAGAATCTCAGTATGGTAACTCGGAAGTGCGGACAGGGTCAGCTGTCATGTGACAAGCAAATGATGTTGCATTGAAACCTCGCGACATCAGCCGACTTTGAGAGAGAGAGAGAGAGAGAGGTCTAAATAAATATTTCCAGAGTAGATATTGCATTATGCCACGTCAGCAGTCTTGCAGCCATTCGCGGCGATGAACATAAAATAAACATTTACAACAAATAGTGTACACAGTTCACAGAAAATCACAGAAATTACTCTTCTTTCTCTATCAATCATGTCATGTTACAGTACTGAGCCAAGTTCCACAAAGGTATCTTATCTCGAAAACTAAACTCAGAAGCAAGAGAACCTATACCCTTCAGCTGATTTTATCATATGTTTGAGAGAGAGAGAATTTTAGTGGGTTCTTTAGGGATGCTTATTTAATTATTTAATTTTGGGAATATTTGTAACTTTGAAGAATGCCGTCAAATGGCCAGACTATACTGACTCCACTAGTGACATGTTTATGATGTTCCTGTTGTATTCAGGTGGGTCTGCCGGCCAAGTCGGGTGTGTCTGGTGGTGTGATGCTAGTCGTGCCCAATGTGATGGGCATTTACATGTGGTCACCCCCTCTGGACCAGTACGGGAACTCCTCCAGAGGCATCCAGTTCTGTGAGGTGAGGAAACCATCTGTTTAGCTGTCACAGGATTCAGATTAGGAGAATACACCTACCTACCCATCCACCCAAAGATGAAGGAGGCATCATAAGCTTCTCTTGACAGATTCAAACTTAGATCATTTTGAAATAGAATGGAACTTTGGGATGTGTATCAGTGGCAGGATACTGGCAAGCTTTCAACATATGAGATATCTTGTCAGTGGGAAGACACAGATCGGCAAGGGTGGCAAGGAATTCATCTAACTTAACAGAAATGACTGGTTAAAAATACAACTGATATGTATTGTTTGTTATGTGCGAAAGGTTCACAATTTAAATCGTTATTGTGCTGTGGTTTCTGTGTAGATGTTAAAAGCTTTACAGAGTGTAACAGAGCATTTAGAAGATAGGAAAAACGGCAATAGGTGAAAGCAATAGAGTTTGTTCCCTTCTTTGAAAATCCTTATGACATTGAGTGTAGATTTTGTTATGAAATTTGAAATTCGTTGAAAAAGAAATTTAGGGTGGGAGAATTTATATTCAAGTTGGCAAATTGGTGGATATAAAAATGTTTTTGTTTTGGGCGGGGCAGTAAGATAAGAACTGACGGGATGAAGTGGGAAACCACTCACCCACCCACCTACCCACCTACCTAGAAACACTTTCACTAAGAACATGGAGAATGATGGTAAAAAAGATACAGCAGGATGAAACTGTCCCTCTCTTGGTATTTCAAAGTTAACATTTCAATGTGACAATATGTTGACTATTGCAACATTGTGTCTGTGTGGCTGTTGTAGAACCTGGTGGACTGCTTCAACTTCCACAACTACGACAACCTCAACCACACCCACGAGAAGCGGGACCCTCGGGTGAGGAAGGTGGACACCCAGTCCAGCAACGTGGTCACGCTGCTCTTCTCAGCTTTTAACGGGGATGTGACGGATCTGAGGAGGTCAGTGGACAACGGTGGCCGGCCTTACTTCTCTGTGACAACATGGCGTTCTTGTAGCCCTAGGCCTGGGTTCACTTGCACCAAGCCATCTTAGCACTAAGACTATCAAATCTCCCATACTTTAACACAGACTTACTGAGTAGTCTTAGCACTAAGGTTCATTTATGCAAGTTGGTCCGAGACAGAGAATCCCTTATATTTGTACCTTCATATGAGAAGGACAGAAGGCAATAGTGGATGAAATAAGTATAAGAAGTGAGAAGGCTCCATTTTTGTTCACAGGATCTGCATAATTTAAGAAATGAGCAATTTAATATTTGTCCTGATTTAGCATTGTATTGTATTGATTTACAAATTGAGATGGGCAGATATCATAAAATTCCAAAGGGAGAAAGGCAATATTTTCACTCTTACAGTAATTTTGTTTAAAATGAGTGTCAGTTACTATTGATATGTCATAAATATCACATTAATTTTTCAAAGTATTTACCAAGGAAATTCATTGTAAATCTTTCCACTTTGATCCATGTTTGATATATTCGTGACAAGTACGAGGGAACATTTTGTCAATTGGCAATGTACATTTCTTTTGCCAATATTTTCAGAGATAAGAACTTACTGTTCCATGTATCTCCTAGCTATGTGTGGATACATGTTATTATGTGTTGAAAGGGCTGACTTCAAGATGATTTCAGGAAGCATTTTTTCGATATCTGAAAATGAGGAAGTCTTTGCCTCAAGCTGTTTATCTAAGGAGATACAGATAAAGACATTATAATATCTGGTAATAATTCATCTTGGGTCACAGAGTTGTTCTTTGTTAGATTTTTTTTCTTTTGAACTTAAAAGTACCTACTCTTTTCACTCATTTTAACCATATGTACATGTATTTGATCATGTCTCCAAACCTTACAAGTGTATAAAAGAAATTAGGTTAATTGTCAGGCCAACATTTGAAAGTTTGAAAATTATACTTCTAGTGGGCCAAAAAGTGTGCCCTGCCCATTCAGAGATTGTTGATTTGAAATACCTTACCTGGAGAAACAAACATCTTTTGCACAAACTGCCACTTTGTCCTTTCTCAACTTCACATGTAAGCCTGTTGCAAGCTGGGTGTAAGATTTGTGGTACTGTCCTGCTCACAGATGTGCTATTGCTGGGATGGACATGAGCACCCCTGACTATGATGGTCGGACAGCTCTCCACATTGCTGCTGCTGAGGGCCATCTTGACGTCATCAAGTTCCTCCTCTACAAGTGTAAAGTCAGCCCCTTTGCTGTGGACAGGTGGGTGGCCATCTTCACAATGTTACACATTGTTTCTCTAGGTGGCCGTCTTCACAATGTTGCACATTGTTTCTCTAGGTGGCCGTCTTCACAATGTTGCACATTGTTTCTCTAGGTGGCCGTCTTCACAATATTGCACATTGTTTCTCTAGGTGGCCGTCTTCACAATATTACACATTGTTTCTCTAGGTAAGGCGTCAAGCCTTTCACAGACACAATGATTGATTCAAATCTGTTGATGCATGGCAACTGTTCATGGCCCAATGGCACTTTATTCATGACAAGTTAAAATCAATAGATACCATCACTGCCATCGATAGTGTAACAAAATAAAACAAATACTGTTATGTATCCTTGTTTGTATCCAGAATAAACATGGGAGTAGCCATTAATGTAAATCAGACAATAACTAGAAGTACCTCTAGAATTCCTCAACAACTTGGCAGAACCGTGTCAAATTATTATGAGGCTCCATGTGACTGTGTGCCATATCATATCCTGACATTGTTGATATGCTCATGCTGTCAGCCACTCGTTTTGTAGTGCAGATATTGATAGCTTGCAGTCTGCTGTGATGTTGCTGCAATAGTGATGAATTGCTGCTTAAAATGTTCATCCACTCATTCCAATGTATTACTTCCTAATCACATATTCTCGCACAAGCTCTCCTCCTTTGTCTTCCAGGTGGGGTTTCACTGCTCTGGATGATGCACAGAGATTCGAGAAGGTTGAAGCTGGTGAATTGTTGTTGAAGTCTATGCAGGATATCCGGCCCGATTACCTGTACCAGCCCCACTCACATGACTAGATCACATGACCAGATCACATGATTAGATCACGTGACTAAATCACCTGACCAAATCACTTGCCTATAGCCAAAGAGGTTTCTTCAAGATGCTTCTATGTTAATACATATCATATCTACATTGTACTTTGTACAGAGACAAATAGCATCTGAATCACACTAGGTCTACCTTATTCCTACCTTACCTCAACAGTGATGGTTTGTCAACGGACTGAACAATTAATATTCAAAATCAGCTAGGTGCTGGCCCTTTTATGTAGGGTTTTTTATAACAAATGTCATTCATTTCACAGAGGGCAGTGGGGTAGCCTCGTGGTTAAAGCATTTGCTCATCACGATGAGGACCTGGGTTCGATTCCCCACATGGCTACAATGTGTAAAGCCCACTTTTGGTGTCCCCTGCCGGTGATATTGCAGGAATAATACTAAAAGGTGCTTAATACCCAACTCACTCACCCACTTCCTCATTTCAAGGATAGATGTGGTAAGTCAAGGATAGATGTGGTAAGTCAAGGATAGATGTAGTAAGTCAAGGATAGATGTAGTAAGTTCAAACACAAAATGGAAGATTTGTAGCCACCAAAGATGGTTGTCTTCCTTGTATACTGTGCATATGAATCATAGCAGCACATATACAGTGTATATCCCGAATCTTTCAACCACTGAATGCTATAATCTGTAATCTCAGGCAGCGGTATGTGTATGTTATTAAGTCCTTCGCTGCTTGATGAAGAAATCTGCCTCTCTACTTCTTACAGTTGAAGATGACAAAGTGTGATAGTGGAGTTGAAGTGGTTTTAGGTTATATCATAGGTGTGTTTTTAGTACCGACTGATGTTATTATTTACTGGGGTGAAGCTATGTATCTAACAAATATTATCAAACACCTACACTTCAAACTTACTGATACAGTGTTGTTTCATTACAACTTTGTTCTAACCTTTTAATTGTCAGGATGTGTTAATCAAATTCATGCTTGCTTGGCTCTTTTTGGAGATTTGGAACAAAATAATAGGTTTTGGTTTGATTGGGCGCGATATTGTTACTAAACATGAATGTCTACATAGATCAGCACTGTGTGATATCGTGTCAGTTGTGACCAGGCTGTTAAATGGAACATTGTATTAAAAATGCCCTGCATCACAGAGGATGAGAGGGGAAACTGGGGAGCAGTCATGGTTTACTAGGTGTGTTTGTTTAAGGGATATAATTGTTGATTTTCCATGTATTTATGTTTGACATCAATGCTCAGCACCCCAGCAGTGCCACATCCTTGGTTGTATCGTTCTAGACTATCACTGATGTTTATATCTGCAGTTTATTGCAGTGCTTTTTGTTTGTTTACCTCAGTGTTCATTAAATGATTTCATACAGGGAAATTGCATCTCATTCAAATGCTCAAAACACCATTTTCTGTATTATTGATTATAGGTATTTGTTTTCCTGCTGGTGGCTTATACTGTAAAAACCAAACCTCCATCCTATGCAGTCTTTAGCTTTGTGTAATGGTTATTAATAATTGATGAACGAAAGATCAAGATTGAATCTCAGAGTCACTGACAGTGTCAGTGTATTGTTTAACGGTGAGGTAAATTTGTTTTTGAAACAGGGATTCTGAATAGTTTGGCCTTGATAAATTTCAGCTGGCAGATGGTATTGACAGTTCAGATATCATCATCTACGGTATTTCTAGATAGTTTGCATTTACTGATGTGCACCACATGTTGCACATGGCAAGACGCTTGTTGATAGCCTCTGTGTGTTGGCACCTGTCAATCATCATCACTATGCACTTGTCAATTTCAAATCAGGAACTTTCTTTTACAGATTTTCAGGATCTTAGTTTGTATGTTTCTTTCCAAGAGAGTGTGGGGTTTTTTTGTGTGTGGTGGTTTAGACATTACCAGTGTGTACAAGTGTCTACTCAAGTACTGGGTATGACAGTGAGGCATTCTTCTGTTCCTTTACCAGAGAGATTTCGACATTAGAAGAATTTTCTTCATTGTTTAGTGTTGATAATACTTACAGTTTATATATTTAATATTATGTGCAGTTAATTCTCATTATGATGCTGTTACTGTTCAAAGGGATACAGCCCTCGTTGCCCCCAAGCAGCCCGCCCCCTCCCGGGCAACTGCTGCTCACCTACTTGATATTTCGATATGATCGAATCTGAACCCCTTTGTAATGCCAGACTCATTATAGTGCCACTCTATATAACCATGACAAATAGTGTTACAACGAGGTTTGACTGCATGGCATTAGCAGGATTTGTTACTCAAGTATTAATATATACTTTGTTAAGAAATTGATATTATCCAGAGATTAATTTTCTAGTATATTTACACCCCATGTTTAGTGGCTGCTAGCTTTTTAACACAATAAACGCTGACAATTCCAATGTTTTTTGTTCTTCATCAGCCCTATTCAGCATGAGGGATGGTTGGCCCACTGGCACCATCTGCTGGGATTCTGCCAAGATCTGATTCTTGTGGGTTCAAATCCTTGGGTTGCCAGCACTTTACTGAGATTGTAGGTTTCCGTCATGGGTTAGAACTAATGCCCCTGTAGACTGCTTGTCTGAAGAGTCGACTGAATGGATCAGGGGCTAAGGCTCAGCTGATTGCTTGTCATACCTGGTGGTGCAGGCTCAGCTGATTGCTTGTCATACCTGGTGGTGCAGGCTCAGCTGATTGCTTGTCATACCTGGTGGTGGATGCTCAGCTGATTGCTTGTCATACCTGAGGGTGCAGGCTCAGCTGCTTGCTTGTCATACCTGGCAGTGCAGGCTCAGCTGATTGCTTGTCATACCTGGTGGTGCAGACTCAGCTGATTGCTTGTCATACCTGGTGGTGGAGGCTCAGCTGATTGCTTGTCATACCTGGTGGTGCAGGCTCGGCTGATTGCTTGTCATACCTGGTGGTGCAGACTCAGCTGATTGCTTGTCATACCTGGTGGTGGAGGCTCAGCTGATTGCTTGTCTTACCTGGTGGTGCAGGCTCAGCTGATTGCTTGTCATACCTGGTGGTGCAGACTCAGCTGATTACGTATCATACCAGGTGGTGTAGGCTAGCTGATTGCACATTATACCTGGAGGTGTAGGCCAGCTGATTGCATGTCATGCTTTCAAGTGACTGTATCAATGTGTCTGAAACAATTATTTTCTCCCATTCACCTTTTGGCAAGCAGGTGTTCACTGGTATGGTTAGAGCTGTGACGTGTGCTTCTTCCAAATACATACAACTGAAATACTGACATCAAAAGGGACATCAAAAGAGAAACTTAATTTACTTCAAAACGTAAATGCCAACGAAATATTCAGTAAAGAATATCTACTGAAACAGATTCCATTTGGAGTGAAAAGAAAAAAGGTGATGAAAATCAGTGATGACACCAGGTGTTTGCAGAAAGGGTAAACATATCCTACTCTAACCGTCACTCACAACTAGATTAGATCTATAGATCATTAAACAGAACAATTATTAGTTCTGATGTAAGTGAATATTTATTTCTCAATTTCATATAATTTCTCCTATGTCGCTGTTGCAGAAGACTACATTCGTTAGCCTTCGGTGCGGATTGCGCGGGTTCGAATCCCGCTGACGACACGTTTTTCGTGATAATTGTTCCATAATCAAGGTTAAAGATATGGGAAAAGTGTCGTTAAATAACCATGCATTGAAAGTGATGGCAAACCACAAACATGCCATAATACGCTGACAGTCACTTACTGGTATTCCAAGGTAACCAACTCACAAAACTCATTTGAGACAAGTAGGCGGTCCACAGCATTGGGGCAAACACATTTGGTTGTTACAGTGTGTTTGTTTGTCTGTTTGTTGTTTAACGCTGCACACAGCAATATTCCAGATATGTGACGGTCTGTAAACATTAACGACTGGTGCCTCGGCAATTGCCCTGCAGGAAGAACGGCGTAGGATCCCTAATCAGGATGTCAGGAGACTTGTGTACTCAGTTCGACGTTGTGTTAGGGCCTGCATTGTTGCTGGAGGGGGTCACATCCGATACTGAGCCATGTGTGTAGCACGGGACTTTAAAAAAGATCGACGTCGATTCTGCGAGTGTGATGGAATACTGGACAGTGCACCCAACATGATAAACGTGTCTGCCGAGTTACTTAATTTCGCGCCTGTTTTGTTTTAGACCAGAAAATTGTTGGGTGGCGTTTCTTTTGCCCGTTAATTTATTTATCTCGACTATAAATCTGTTTCTAAAGCCCCATTCACATGGACACTTTTACTTACGTGAGTATATATACTTACATAAGTAAATTTACTTATGGTGCCATGTGAACGCATTTGCGTACGTGAGTAAATATACTCAGGAGTAAAGAGACATGAGTAAAAGTATATGTGCTACACCTAATGAGGTCTAGTAAAAGTATATTTACTCATAAGTATAAATGCTCCTGGAGTATTTCTGGTCATGTGAACAGATTCTCTATTTGCTTACGTAAGCATATTAAATCCAAGATACTGATAATCAGGAAAATACGGCTGTAGTTCCTTGCAAAGAACATAACATGTTCATAAAATGTTTCGCGTGTCATGCGAAAGTTATCGATCCACAGTTTATCATCAAATGATCGTTTGACGACATTGTTCCACCGGTGTTGAGAACGATCTCTCTTCCACAGTTCTCTTTCCTGGCATAATCCTAAGACTAATCCCATACTAAGAAAGTATGGAAAGTCTCTCTTTCGCCTCTGTTTGACTATCTTCGACAGCGACATGGCCTCAAATGATAAAAGTCCACAATTTATTTATGAAATGATGTTTACTTCTGCCTTGCATCAACTTCATGTGAACGCAATGTAAATATACTTTTGCTTACATGAGTAAATATACTCCATGAGTAAATTTGCTTACATGAGTAAATTTTGTCCATCTGAATGGGGCTAAATAAACAAATTCATTTTAACAAAAATATCACACTTCAGTCATATGGTATGATGAACTTGACGCTTACAGTTTGGCATTATAATCTAATTGTGGTTCCTGGATGGGAACTTGAACAAGTTACAATCATCCCATTTCAAATTAGCAGGTCCTTTTTCACAAGGTCATTCTTGAGCTCAGCCGCCGGAAGAACACCTGCTTCGGGTTATGGTACGTGGTGCGCTTCTTTAGTTCGCGTTCTGCAGGACAGTTACCAAACTTGAGTGAGGATCAGTGATATCCTGGGGTAGTAGACTCTCTTCTTTAGATTTAGGAGTTGACTTTATGAACTGGGAATCAAAAGATCTATATTGAGGCCATGCTGCAGCCATGAAGTGAGTCGCATGAAGTCTGCTTAGAGTTATCTCCCCTTAAAGGAGAGATTATTCTCACCAGTACATTGATCCACAAACAAATATTATTATTTTTAATTTATAAAGAATATGTTGTTTTTTTAAAGAAAGTGTAAGTAGAAGCACGTGTCTGTGGTGCCTATATTGGCACCAACTCCCCTGGGCTGCAGTTCAATTCGTCACGTTTTAATCGCCCAGTTTGTTGCTTATGAAGCTAATCTTTGGCCAGCAGTATGGAATCAGTAGTGATTCTGTCACTTCTGGTAACATGCCAAGCTTCGAAAACATTGCATGCCCACTGCATTTACTTTCTTGTCCTTTCTCGATAATATTATTGTCCAATGGCACTTTCATCGTCAGGACTCGGATCTGTATAACACTTGCTGGTCTTTGCAGAGTACATCTTTTCGAGGTAGTCACAGGCACTTGCAATGTCATCGCCACTGCGCGAAATCCGAACAAGCGAGATAGTTCTACGGACATACAACTTCTTTATTACAATAAATGCGACGTTTCGGTTTGGATACTGTATCAGCGTTATCAAAGATGATGATGTGATGTGTCACAATCAGTAGATCACTTGCTTTATAGCGGTGTTACTATCTACATCGAAACGTCGCATGTATTGTCATATAGAAGTTGTTAACCCTATTTACCACCATGACATTAGACATAGCTACGCGTGATATCATAGACCGCTGTTGCAACTTTTATACTAGAATGTAACCGAAGGTGTTAATGTCGCCTTGGTGAGGTGAAATGGGGTTTAACGTCGCGTCCAAGATTACTACACTTATGCATGCGCGCGCGCGTGTGTATGTGGTTGTGTGGCTGCTTGTACTAGTCCGGAATGATGCCGATTTGTAGTGCTAGCACACTGAGATACCATGCCACAGTTTAACATGAATACCCCACTCAGACACAGTATACTGACTCCGACCCGACTAGTCCTTGTTTTAGCTCCTTAAAAATAACCTCTTTTGGTATGACGCGGCCGGGTAATCGAACCCCGGACCTTCCGCTCTCCGGGCGGACGCTCTACCACAAGACCACGGAGGCAGTCGTTGATGTCGTCTAAACTCGGTCATAGTTACATTTTGTAAAGTAGGTTAGCACGCTCCGATCTCCATGTCGTTGTTATGGGTTGAACCCAGGGTCAGGATGGTCCGACACATATTTGTATATATTTGTATGATCATGAGATCAATTGGATCATTATACTTGCCGACAAACAGCAGTGAAACAGTAAGGTTTATATCACAGTTTCAATATAAAATACACAATGTCAAAATATAAACAGGAATGTGTACAGGCATTTCCTCAAAGTGTATTTCCACTGTCCTTACATACGGCGGGGCGGTCGAGAAGCCTAATGGTTAAAGACCCGGGTTCGATTCCCGACATGGTTACAATGTGTGAAGCCCATTTCTGGTGTCCCCCGCCGTGATATTGCTGGAATATTGCTAATAAAAGCGGAGTAAAATCATACTCACTCACTCACTCACTCCTAACACACGGCAGTAAATGAGCCCAAGCGGACATGGTGGCACCCAGCCGTCAAAGGCGCCGCAGTTTGTTGTGCATCCCTTTGATACGCCAGAAACCTGTTATTGGGGGGGGGGGGGGGGTTGTCATCACTATACTCATGGGTGCTCACCGTGCTCATGGGTTTCACCGAAGTGGTAACTGATGTCTGAGACCTGCATCACTTCGTGCTTTTCTCCCACATTAAGCTGACACGCCGTGATATAACTGGAATACTGTTAAAAGCGAAGTTAAACCAAACTCACTCACACACTCACTCACCCAACTCACTCCGGCAGTGTCAGATAACAAGATAGAAGCCAGAGCCTAGTGCTACTTTTTGTCATCAGATAAAGAAACGCGGTGATGAAGATACCCCAAGTTGAGCGCATATCGCTTCATACGCTCATTCAACCTTAAAACTCGCTGACACAACCAAGGTGAAGGTTATTCAGCTCTCTCGCTCCACATACGACAGTCGCGCGATAACCGTCCCGCACACCAGGCCCATATCAGACTGCTGTCACCTGTATCGACACACCTTGGGTGATACCTGCTCGTCTTCT